AAAAAAAAAAAGATGTTAATAAGGTTAAACTGTTTGAAGTATATTTGGTGTCTTTATTTTTAGTAGTTAAAAGTCTTCTCTCTCTTTTATACAGGGCTGTATACAAGCAGCACTGAGGAAGCATACTCTGAGTCTATGTACATACTGTTTTGTCTATTTGGAGAGCCCTGGTGAGGGCCATAAGTTAGGCCTTTTGAGCTGGTGGCTAGAGACAAAGCCTTGGCTTTCAAGGTGCCCTGCATTCCCTGCTCTACAATGACTTTGGTCTATGAAGCTGTTTTCGTCCATAAACATTTCTAATTCTGACTTTTCCAATGGCTGGTCAGTCAGGTCAGGGCAGCCAGGAAATACTTGTTTGATTATCCAAACACAGTGATGAGTGGGAGATTGCTTGAGCTCAGCAGGTAGCAAGGGACAGGGTTTAAAGCGGTCATGGCTTTGAGCCTCACCTCTGGATCACATCTGGATAAGATGGCTTTGTATCTGCCTAACCTTCCCAAGGTTAGCCAGTATCCTCTCTTTTGCTGTAGTAAGAGAAGGACATGGTAAGCAGTAAATACAGATATAGTGATGGGTTTTCTCAGTGTAGACTTCTCAGCCTCCAGTAATACATCACAGGTGGCAGGCCCTGCTTGGGGTCAAGGAGGCCATCCCTTTGTTGTCCTATCAAGGCGCTTGGAGAAACAGGCCACTGACTTCTTAGTTGGTCCAAAGGTTTGAGTTAAGACCTACAGGCTTAGGCCTTGTCTTTTATGTACAAAATGGCCAAAAGGCTTTTTATTTATTTTTGAAACAGTCTCACTTTGTCACCCTCAGTAGAGTGCCCTGGTGTCATAGCTCACAGCAACCTCAAAGTCTTGGGTTCAACAGAACCTCTTGCCTCAGCCTCCTGAGTTGCTGGGACTACAGGTGCCTGCCATAACACCTGGCTAGATTTTTAGAGATGGGGTCTCACTGTTGCTCAGGCTGGTCTTGAACTCCTGAGTTCAAGCAATCCATACCCACCTTGGCCTCAAAGAGTGCTAAGACTATAGGTGTGAGACACCACACCATTTCAAAGGCATTTTAAAATCAGGGAGTCTTAGAGCTGAAGTGGTTGTTAAAAGTGTGATTATATGCATTTTGGCATTCCTGGGGCCATATCAAGTGTTTAAAATGTTTTCTTCTTCTTCGATTTCTTTTTTTTTTTTTTTTTGAGACACAATCTCACTATATCGCCCTCTGTAGAGGACTGTAGCGTCACAGCTCACAGCAATCTCAAACTCTTGGGCTTAAGTGATTCTCTTGCCTCAGCCTCCCAAGTAGCTGGGACTACAGGTGCTTGCCACAACACCTGGTTATTTTTTGTTGCAGTTCTCATTGTTTAACTACCTTAGGCCGGTTTGAACCTGCCAGCTTCAGTGATATGGCTGGTGCCCTAACTCCTGAGCTACACGCACCAAGCCAGGATACTGCCATTTGAAAGCAAAGATCTCTTAGGAGCCTTTATCTGAGGGGATGCAAAAGAAAGGCATCTTTTACATCTAAAACCATAGTCAGCACGTGTCTTCCAACAAGGTGGTCAGTAGAGTATTTGCAACTATTGGATGTACTTCCTGGACAGTGTGGTGAGGCTTGTGAAAGTGGAAGCACTTGGCCATGCCAGGTGGCTCACACCTGTAATCCTAGTACTCTGGGAGGCCAAGGGGGTGGGCTGCTTGAGTTCACAAGTTCCACACCAGGCTGAGCAAGAGTGAGACACCTGTCTCTACTAAAAGTAGAAAAATTAGCCAGGCATTGTGGTAGGTGCCTGTAGTCCCAACGAGTCAGGAAGCTGAGGCAAGAGGATAGCTTGAGCCTAAGAGTTTGAGGTTGCTGTGAGCTATGATGCCACAGTACTCTACCCAGAGCCACAGAGGGGAGACTCCATCTCAAAAAAAAAAAGAAAGAAAGAAAAAGAAAAAAAAGAAAAGCGGGTGAAATCACTTAAAACCCATCAGCTCATGATTCTTTGCATTTCAGTAACCATCTTCTAACCTGTATACATATAAATAACAGAGATGGTATATGTATTTTACTTTTTAAAAATTTTTTATAAAATAGGGACTAAAGTGAAGTGTATATGTGTATACGTATGTTTATAACATGGAAAGAAATGTGGGATCTGTATATCAGGTTTGTAATATTGTTCTACATACTAGGGCTTGTGAAGATGTTAACAGAGAAAAAGCTAATTAGTAAACAATCTTTTTAAAAATGGCTGTTAAAAATGTAAAATAGGCTCAGCGGCTAAGTAGCTCAAGCGGCTAAGATCCCAGCCACATACACCAGAGCCGGTGGGTTCGACTACAGCCCGGGCCTGCCAAACAACAATGACAACTACAACCGAAAAATAGCTGGGCCTTGTGGCGGGTGCCTGTAGTCCCACCTACTTGGGAGGCTGAGGCAAGAGAATCACTTAAGCCCAGGAGTTGGAGGTTGCTGTGATGCCATAGCACTCTACCCAGGGAGACAGCTTGAGGCTCTGTCTCAAAAAAAAAAAAAAAAAAAAAAAGTAAAATAGCGCGGTGGCATATAATCTCTAACATAATTTACCTCATGTCTAGGGATACAGACTCATTCGAACAGGAACTTAAATACTAGTCCATACACATATTAAACAAGACCACACAGGGTTCCAGACACTGAATCGGATCCACAAACTCACTCACAGACACACCCACCTGTTTTGTTTAACTGCCACTCTTCAATTGCCAGACGCTTGTACCCAAGGTACCCAGGAGGTGTCGCTCGAGGTCATGTCCACGGACTTGACCTGGACACTTCTGCTCACTCAGGTCTAAGTCCCCGGAAACCCCATTCCCATCGTCGCCCGCTCTGGACACCAGAACGAGTTCCCAGCCTTTGTTGAAAGCTTTTAATTTGTTCTCTACTCGTAAGTAGAGTTCCAGTCTTATTTCGCAAAAAGCGCCTCGGGCGGGCGGAGCCGAGTTGCATGCTGGGAAGGAGCAGCCCTCCCTCCGTCTTCCAGGCACTCACCCTCTGGGAACTACATTTCCCAGAAGTCTTCGGGTCGGGGGTCTCTTAGGGGCTGGGCGAGTGTGCCAGTGCTCAGCTCTTCTTTTGAACCCGCTCCCAGCCTCTGAGAGTTTCCCAGTTATTATTTCCCATAAGCCTCTGGGTGCAAACTAACCTCGTCTCCGTGTCCCTTTCCCGTGTCCTCAAGGTTTTTGGACTCTGCGCGGTGAGTTGTGTACGTAGTAATCAGCCCGCGTGAGGCAAGTAGGGCTCAGCAGACATTACTGGGCCGTATCGGAACTGGCCCTGAGGGTAGGGGTGACATCCGGGGCCTGGAAGTGAGGCGGTTAGGGTCACGGACCGGGCGTGTAGTGTCCGGAGCCTCAAGACTGTGTGTATGAGCAGCTGAGGGGGACAGTGTGTGACAGACTATGTGACAGGGCCAGAGGGGGTTCCGTGACAGTGAGTGCGGTTAGGGATGGTGGGATACGTGGCCTTATTTGTAGGTGTGGTTTGCTTTGATGGAATGTTCCAGGTTCCTGCCGTTATGCTATCCTTGAACTTGCTTACCGTTAAATGACAGCAAGATGTCTATATGACAACAGGTCCCAGAATGGACATTTCAAGCAATTCGGATGCGAGTTTTCGATCTGGAAGTATCCTGCTGACATCGTGAGGAGGGAGTCTTAGGGGTAGAGTTCCTAGAAGGGGCCCCTCTTAGAGGCTCTTTGAGGGCCAGCTATACGTTTCATAGCTATTGCAACCAGACCTCTGTCCCTGAGTATTGCTGTCAACTCAGAGACAGACTCCAGCTTCTTCCATTTTAATTTCATTTGGTTATGTGTGGCAGAAGGTAGATGTAGCCCTAGGTGTTTCGTTCTTTCTTTTTTCTTCTTTTAAAGTTTTAAGAGAAAAAATACAAGACTAGGTTTATCGTCAAAATGATGTAACAAATTCAGATGATACAATCTTAACTCAAAGAATATCATATTCTCCAGAGCGAGAAAACTTTTTGGTGGAAACCATGCCAGCTTTTGGTTTAATGAAAAATTTGCCATGTTCATTCTCAATCTTTGATCCTACAAGAGATTTCTGCATCTTTGATGCTGTGACACGACAGAGGGTGTTTCTTTCTCCATCTGGTTTTTCCTGCTGCAGGAATCTGATTTTGTAGATTTTTTGCAGGAACTGATGTTTGTTGTCATGTTCATCAAGAATTTTTCACAATTATTCTTGAAATGGTTGGTTTGGGGGGGACTACCATTGTCTGTTACAGTAACTTCTAGTATGTACTCATCTGGCTTTCTCAGTCTGGTTTCCTTGATTTTGTTGTGATGAAAACTACATCAACACAGGTAAAAGTACACAGGAGAGAAGCACATATGTTAGTGGTGCTAGCCTATCTATGAGGGTGCTTGCCTAGCAGGCCTGTGCTTGGGTGTAGCCATTATAGTGGGATTTGGACCTGCAGGAACCTGGCCTTTGGTGTCTGCTCAAGCCTGTAAAAGAGTGATGTTCCACACATGTCTTCCATAGCCTTTTTGCTGCCTGGTGGTCTGGTAGTTTGTATTTAATGGTGGTCTCAGATTGTTCCATTCAGATTCCCTCCCTGCATGGTTACATCACGCTGGCTGTGTCCCTCTGGCAATGGCTCATCTCAAGACAGCCATCTCCACACAGATCTGTCCTTATGGGTTCAGGTACCAAATCTGCTTTTCTCCTTTAGACCTGGGTGTGGTGAGGTGAACACCATACAAGGGAAGTCTCCTTGCATGCTCTATGAACTCATCATATGCTTGTTCTGGAGACAGGACCTTCCTGCTCAGGGTTTTCTTGAATCCTAAGTCCAAAGTAGTCCTTCTCCAAGAGATTGAGGTGTTCACATTCTTTGTCAAAAAGCACTTGTCCCTTAGCAAGTTTCTGGGATCCCAATGTGGAATGTGGGGACGGTAGGGGTCTTCCAGGGGTCTTTTTCCTGGGGCTTCTGTGCCAGGAACAATGTTGGGGTTTTACTTCCTGGGTTTTGTGGCCCCAGAAAAGAGGGGGTCAGAAGTCCCAGTTACCCAAGCTCAGTTGACCTGGTTCAATTACTCGGCAGAACTAGAAAGTTCAAGTGAGGCATGGTGGTAACTGAAAGCAAAAGTGAGTGGCAACTGAAAATAAAACTCGGGCAGCACAGCCAGGATAGAAAGCAAAAGTAACTTACACAAGGTTCAGGGTAACAGAGAGAGATTTTATTTAGGGAGAACAAAGAGAAAGTTTAGAGCATTTCCAAAGAGACTTGGAAGTAGGTCCCTCTCATGAAGGAGAAAAGGTGAGAGAGACCTCATTTTTTCTTTTTAAATTATGTCTGTACTGTGAGAGATGCTTGTGTTTCATGATTCCCCTTTCTCCCCAGTGCCACCAAGTTCCTAAGAAGGACCTCGAGAAGAAGAAAATAAATTTTACCAATTTAGAAATCAAGATTCACGTGAGTTTGTGTGTGTGTGTTTTAAGTACATACAATTACTTTTGTTTCTAAGTCATGAGAACATTTGCTTTTCTTGGCTTATATATTGACTAGTATTGTCTCCTGGGTCTTCCTTCTGGTGAATGACCCACCATGCCACCTGCTCAGATAGCAAATTATTTAAATTCTCCAGTGGATTGTGATATCATAAAAAAACACCTCCTGGAGATTAATGTTACAGCTTTATTTTAGATTATGATTACTTGAGGAGATTAGTATTTATTTATTTATTTATTTGAGACAGTCTCACTATGTCGCCCTGAGTAGAATGCTGTGGCATCACAGCTCACAGCAACCTCAAACTCTTGGGCTTAAGCCGTTCTCTTGCTTCAGCCTCCCAAGTAGCTGGGACTATAGGTGCCCGCCACAACACTTGGCTATTTTTTTGTTATAGTTGTCATTGTTTGGCAGGCTGGGGCAGGGTTCGAACCCGCCAGCTCTAGTATATGTGGCTGGTGCCCTAGCCACTGAGCTACAGGCGCTGAGCCGAGGTTAGTATTTACGTGTGGTATTGTGCACAAACTATTTTTTATCTTTTTATTGATTATTTTTCATAAGATACAATATATGTGATAACAAATGTTATTAGTACATATTGAGTGTGACAATTTTTAAATTTTTTATTGTTTGGGACTCATTGAGGGTACAAAGAATTAGGTTACACTGATTGATTGTATTTGTTAGATTGTTCCTTTTATAATTGTGCTATTTTTTATCTCTCTTTTTTTTTTTTTTTTGCAGTTTTTAGCCGGGGCCGGGTTTGAACCCGCCACCTCCAGCATATGGGGCCGGTGCCTCACTCCTTTGAGCCACAGTTAATAGTCATAATTTTTAAAGCAAGCCAAGGAAGGTTGTTAAATCAAGGCAAAGTTTCAACCAATAAATATTGTGTTTTGTGAGGCTTTTTTGTTGTTGTTTTGTTTTAAGATAGAGTCTCACTCCTGTCTCCCAGGCTAGAGTGCCTGATATCATCCTAGCTCATAGCAACCTCAACCTCTTGGGCACAAGCTATCTTCTTGCCTTAGTCTCCTAAGTAGCTGGGACTACAGGTGCCCACCACAGTGCCTGGCTACTTTTTCTTATTTTTAGTAGAGACAGAATCTCACTCTTCTTCAAGCTGTTCTTGAACTCCAGAGCTCAACCATCCTCCTGCCGTGGCCTCCCAGAGTGCTAGGATTACAGGTGTGAGCCCCTGCACCTAGCCTGTTTGATGAGGCCTATAAAGTGGAATTGTGGGCTCAACGCCTGTGGCTCAAGTGGCTAAGGCGCCAGCCACATACACCTAAGGTGGCAGGTTCGAATCCAGCCTGGGCCCGCCAAACAACAATGACGGCTGCAGCCAAAAAATAGCCGGGCATTTTGGCAGGCGTCTGTGGTCCCAGCTACTTGGGAGGCAGAGGCAGGAGACTCGCTTGAGCCCAGGAGTTGGAGGTTGCTGTGAGCTGTGATGCCACGGCACTCTACCCAGGGAGACAGCTTGAGGCTCTGTCTCAAAAAAAATAAATAAAAAAATAAAGTGGAATTGTGATTGAGCATTGAGCATAAGAGAGTGGTTTGTACCAGTAAGGGCAGGAACTTCAGATAACCTTCAGGCAGAAATGTCTTTGTGGGGAAGCACCTATGGCTCAGTGAGTAGGGTGATGGCCCCATATCCGAGGTTGTCAGGTTCAAACCCAGCCCCAGCTAAACTGCAACAAAAAAATAGCTGGGTGTTGTGGCGGGTGCCTGTAGTCCCAGCTGCTTGGGAGGCTGAGCCCAAGAGCTAGAGATTGCTGTGAGCTGTGGCGCCACGGCACTCTACCAAGGGTGACAAAGTGAGACTGTCTCTAAAAAAAAAAAAGAAATGTTTTTGCCAAGCATGGATTGTTTCAGTTCTAGCTTTGTAGGCTTGACTCAGACCCTCTGTGCCACATTTATAAAATGGGGACAAAATACCTACCTAATGGAGTTGTAATGATGTAAGATGAGTTTGTATGTGTAAAACTCCTTAGAACAGTGTCTGGCCCATAATAAGGTTTTACTGAATATTAAGAGTTGTTGTTAAGTAGCATTTCTGGATCTTTCTCCATAAGCTTTTTATAGATCATGTAAATGATGTAATGTTAAGCAATTATGATAGTTACGAACAAAAGTACTCAAGAATATTACTGTATATACAAATCTTATCCAATAAGACAGACTTTTGAAAGATATGTTTCGAGGATTATATCCAAACTGTTATTTTAATTGGTCATTCAGTGAAAAAGTAGAGAGGTGCAGCCGCACTACTCTGTACCAAATACCATTCTGTTTATGTACATATGTTTTCTTCCTCAGACTCTGAAGGTGGTTTACCTAATTTGTGTTGATTGTCAGGAGACTCTTCACAGTGAAAGTGTCTCATTAAATTGATGAGCAACAGCTACAGGATGTTCAAGAACTGGTAGGTATATTTTTTTAGGCCGCCGATTTTCAGTGATGGTCCTGTTTGCTCAGTTTTCTTAATAACTGAAATATACCCCTCTTCTGTCACTCTAGTTTTTACTTTTATGCACATATTTCTTTCTTTTTTTTGAGTCAGAGTCTCACTATATCGCCCTGGGTAGAGTGCCGAGTCACAGCTCACAGTAACCTCCAACTCTTGGGCTTAAGTGATTCTCTTGCCTCAGCCTCCCAAGTAGCTGGGACTATAGGCGCCCACCACAATGCCCAGCTATTTTTCGTTGCAGTTGTTTACTTGGTCTGGGCCAGTTCAATCCCGCCACCCTCAGTGTATGTGGCTGGTGCCATAACCACTGTGCTACAGGCACTGAGCTTATATGCACGTATTTCTGATTATGGAATTAATGCAGACTTGGTGCAAAAAATTCAGCGATCCAGGAGATGTATAGAAAAGGAAGTTAAAATTACAACTTCTAGAGTTGACCATTCTTAATATTTTGGTATTTTTTATTTATATTTTTTTTCTTATGAGTCTATGTGTCTTGTTTAGTTTCTGCAGAATAAAAGCACTGTATAATATAAATGAGTTGATGGTTTAATAGCTCTTAGTTTGAAAAGGAAATCCAACCTAGCTTGGTATGGTGGCTCACGCCTATGATCCTAGCACTCTGGGAGGGTCAGGCAGCGGGATTGCTTGAGCTCAGGAGTTTGAGAGGAGCCTAAACCTAAAAAAGAGCCTGTCTCTAAAAAAAAAAAAAACAAAAAGAAATCCAACCTAAATATGGTTTTTATTTTAATCTTGGCTATTTAGAGAGAAGAGGGAAATACCAGTTATTACCTTCTTATTTGAAATATTTAAAACTTTTAGGATTACAGAAATGCCATTTAAAAATTAATTACTGGGGCTTGGTGCCCATAGCTCAGTGATTAGGGTGCTGGCCACAAGTACTGGGGCCGGTAGGTTCAAACCTGGCCCTGGCCTGTTAAAAAAACAATGACAACAACAAATAGTCCCAGCTACTTGGGAGGCTGAGGCAAGAGAATCACTTAAGCCCAAGAGTTTGAGGTTGCTATGAGCTGTGACTCCATGGCACTCTCTGCCAAGGGTGACATATTGAAACTCTGTCTCAAAAAAAAAAAAAAAAAAATTACAAGGACAACAAAAACAGACTTTCAGAATGAGATTTTTTTTTTTCCTTCCTTCCTGAGACAGAGTCTTACCATGTCACCGTGCAACTCTTGGGCTTAAGCAATGCTTTTGCCTCAGCCTCCCAAGTAGCTGAGACCACAGGTGCCCGCCACAATATCCAGCCATTTTTTGGTTGCAGTTGTCATTGTCGTTTGGAAGCCCCAGGCTGGATTCAAACCCACCAGCTCCAGTGTATATGGCTGGCACCCTAGAGGCCCAAGCCCAGAATTAGATTATTTTAAAGGTTACTTCCACTGAGAATAGTAATAGTGGTAATAATCTCCAATATACAGCCATCTTACAAAAGACATATTATATTTTACAAATAATATTTCCAAGGACAGGTATAAATGCCAGATGGTAGAATAAGATTTAGTTGTAAATACTCAAGTAAACCACCAATTTGTTGAGACCAAGATTGAACCTCTAAGTTCTCAGCTTGACACCTAATTGGTTGTATTTTCTGAGACAGCTTCATAATGCTGAATTGTGTCTCTTCATCTGAATCTAGGAGGAAGGGATACTTCCTCTACATCTTTCTGAAAACCTTTTTTGCTTATATTGTTGTTCAGGGAGAATAATGTGCTCAATGCCTGACTCTTTTTTTTTTTCGAAACAGAATCTCACTTTGTCACCCTTGATATAGTGCCGTGATATCACAGCTCACAGCAACCTGAAACTCTTGGGCTTAAGTGATTCTCTTGCTTTAGCATCCCAAGTAGCTGGGACTACAGGCGCTGGCCACAACGCCTGGCTTTTTTTGTTGTAGTTGTCATTGTTGTTTGGCAGGCCCAGGTTGGATTCATACCTGCCAGCTCCAGTGTATGTGTCTAGTGCCCTAGCCACTGAGCTACAGGCACTAAGCCAATGCCTGACTCTTGAAATTTTAGTTAGCATTATTAGAATGCAAGCTCGAGAAACAGAAATTTACTTTGAGCAAAATAGAAATGATAGCATTAAGTTTTTTTGTTATATTGGCATAATAGATGATAATATTCTTTTTTTTTTTTTTTGGCCAGGGCTGAGTTTGAACCTGCCACCTCTGGCATATGGGGCTGGCGCCTTACTCCTTTGAGCCACAGGTGCTGTTCTGATGGGTAATATTCTTTATCTCCAATAGTAATGGCTAAAATTTATATTTAAGTAACTTTTATATACCATTCAATTTTTTTTTTTGAGTCAGAGTCTCACTATGTCACCGTTAGTAGAGTGCTGTGGCATCGCAGCTAACGGCAACCTCAAACTCTTAGATTCAAGTGATTCTCTTGCCTCAGCATTCCAAGTAGCTGGGACTACAGGTGCCTGCTGCAATGCCTGACTATTTTTCTTGTTGCAGTTGTCATTGTTTTAGGTGGGCCAGCTGGGTTCAAGCCCTCCAGCCTCTGTGTTTGTGGCTGGTGCTCCCCACTGAGCTATGGGCACAGCCTATACCATTCAATTGTTGAATGGATTTTTTTTACTTATTCTTAAATGCAGCCATCTATGGTAAACACTGTTCTCGTCTCTCTTTTGTTGATGAGGAAACAGAAGTACCAAGAAATTGGTAACCATTAAGCTCAGATTCACATCTTGAAAGTCTTATACCAGAACTTTTATCTTAATTTCAACAGAATATACCCCCCACATGATGTTACAGACCTGATTGCCTCAACAAGTTGGGTCATGGATGTTTTCAATTAATATTAACCAATTAGGGAGGGTATAGTGGGTCATAATTTTTTTTTTTTTTAATCGGAGCCTCAAGCTATCACCTGGGTAGAGTGCAATGGCGTCACAGCTCACAGCAATCTCCAGCTCCTGGGCTTAAGTGATTATCTTGCCTCAGCCTCTCGAGTAGCTGGGACAACAGGTACCTGCCACAATGCCTGGCTATTTTTGGTTGTAGTTGTTGTTTGGCAGGCTCAGGCTGGATTCAAATCTGCCAGCTTCGGCATATGTGGCTGGCAACTTAGCCACTTGAGCTACAAGCACCAAGCTGAGTCATAATTTTTTAAACCTTTTGCCTACTATTACATAGCTTCTAGGTTTTAGTTATTGGAAATTTTTTTTGGTTTAATATTTTTTGTGTATACATCTTGTCTGCTTTTCCAGTTGTTTCTTAAGGATACGTTTCTAGAAGTAGAATTTGGGGTTAGACTTTTCCCCAAATGCAAGATCCTGTGATAGCAGTATTTGGGGGATGGTAATACAATGACTAGAAGACATAATTTATTTTGTCTCTATTTTTAAGACAAAGCAAATATGCATAGAAATAAGTGTAAGACAGCTACTAAGAAAGGCCAATAGGCAATCCAGGTGACCTGCCTTAGGAACTCATAGGAAAGTATAAGCAATATTATTGGATCACAGCCAACTGTATGGAGACAACTGGAACTTACTCTGTCAGCTGTCTATAGTTTGTATTCTACTAATTTAGCTGCAACGTGAGACTAATATGATCAGGTGATTCAGCTGTTATCTAGAAGGTACCATGGCTGAGATAGGTTCAGCTGCAAATTAAACCCATCTATTAAGAAGGCATGAAGGGAAGCAGGATCAAGACGTCATCATTATATCCCCAGTATTACTCGGGGAATTTCAGCCATTTTTTTCTAGGCAGTACATGGGCATATGTAGAAATCATAGAGTTAATATAATTCATGGCCATGGTTAACACAGTTATGCAGAATACTGAAACAAAAGAACATTGTGATCACAATAAAAAGATTAACATTATTAATATATAAATGTGTAACTTTCTGAACTTTTTTTTTTTTTTGAGACAGAGCCTCAAGCTGTCCCCCTGGGCAGAGTGCCGTGGCATTACAGCTCACAGCAACCTCCAACTCCTGGGCTCAAGCGAGTCTCCTGCCTCAGCCTCCCAAGTAGCTGGGACCACAGGCGCCCGCCACAACGCCAGGCTATTTTTTGGTTGCCACCATCATTGTTGTTTGGCGGGTCCGGGCTGGGGATTCGAACCCGCCATCTTAGGTGTATGTGGCTGGCGCCTTAGCCGGTTGCTACAGGCGCCGAGCCACTTTCCAAACTTTTTTTATCTATTGATGTTTGATTGCCAGTCTTTATGTATGTGCATATATGTGTATTTTATAGATGTAATCATATTGTATATCTCATAACTTATTTTTTCTATTGATAGTATATCTTGATTATTTCTGAGTTCTGTGTCACAGAGGTTCTGGTATATTAGGAAGTCAGCATATGGGGGGCTTTGAGAAATTTCTGCTCCATCCTGTCAAGCTCCTGTGTCTTGACTAATTTCCTTCAGTCCTGGGCCCATGAAGGACATTCTGGCTTGGACCACGTGGCCATTTATCATTCCTGAGAGGTAGAAATGGGAGGAGGATCTGATCTGGGCACGACTGAGTAGTCTAAACCCATGCCCAGATTAGCATCTCCCAGGTACTACTAGAAACCTTGCTAAAAAACCTTGGGACTTGGAGTGAGAGTTTAGGTTCCATCAGTGGTGTATGGGGTGTGGAGTATAAGTAGGAATGGAGAAGATAAGCATCCCTGGTCTAATGCTGCATTTTCCTTCCCCAGTTCTGGCTTTTCTGGATTCTGTGCCTCACCAATAGAGGAACCTCATGGAGCATTAATTAGTTCTTACAGTTCTCGAACCATGACTGATGTAAGTTGGTATTTTTCCCTTTATGAAAGGGAAAAATGAATCTTTTAATTTTTTAAGGCTTTCTGCCTGACAAAACTCTATCCCTGAACCTACTTCTCAGTTCCTCCTATCTCAGTGAAGAATGGTGCCAAATAACCATTAGTGCCTATTGGATGATGCCCATAACTCCCTGTGTGCCTCTCCCCTTTCCAGTGTCATCATTGATCATGTTCAACATCTCCTGTGTGTCAGTCTTCTAGCAAGAGCAGTCAGTGATACAGCAGTGGAGGAATGGAGCTTAAGAGACTTAAACTTCTATCAAAGAAAGTTCAAAGAAATATAAAATATAGTATGCTTTTACTTGTATATAAGGAAAACCAACAGTGGATTGACTTCATCTATCAAAGGCACCAACAGGGCTCATATAAAGGAAGAAAGGGAAGAGAATGGAAGACTTCATAAGATTTTTGAAAGGAATAGTTTTCCTTTTTCAGAGCAAGATGCTGAGTAGAGGGCAGGTAGTGAAGAATCCAGTCAAAATACTCTGCCCGTAGACAATTAGATGGTCACTCAGAACAGCTTCAGTAGTTTATGTGTTCTCCAGGAGAGCTTAGGTGTTTAACTATGACATACCTATGCAAGGCTGGGTAGTGCCCTTTATCATCACATTTGTTATCACCTTTGTTCATTGAGGTCTGCACCATTTTCTCTTACCTGAATTTCTCATTACTATGTCAAGACTGTAGTGTGGTAAGTTAGTGATGAGGGTCCCATTGAACCACATGGGAAAACTTGGAATTCCTCCAAGGGCCTGGTTTTCCAGAGAGATAAGATGGAATTTGGGATTGCTTGGTCTCAGCCTTAGTTTATGTGACACTGTTTTATGCTTTGGGAGGCTCTTCTGTTTAGAATAGAGCATGAGTGGTTCTTCCCAGGGGTTCCTTAAGAGATGAACACTGGTAGCCTTTGGAATCACAAAGGACTCGACTTCCAGTGAACTTTGAACTAATGGATTTTGAAGTCCATTGACCAGGACATGTTGGTCTTGGGTAATATCTATGTCAAGTGCAACACTTTACGTCAATAAGTTTATCTCAGGGACAGGAAAGTATTAAGCAAGGGTGGTTGATGGTAACAAGTGAGAACATTCCCAGAATTAAGAAAATCTTCAGAAAATTTGTTCATTCTAAATGTACAAATACCCTAACTCTAGGGCAGCACCTGTGTCTCAAAGGAGTAGGGCACTAGCCCCATATACCAGAGGTGGTGGGCTCAAACCCAGCCCCAGCCAAAAAAAGAAACTGTAACAAATACCATAACTCTACTAATCTCATATATCCAGAGGATGAAATGAATTTCAGCTAATAAAAATATTTTATTTAGGGGTGGCGCCTGTGGCTCAAAGGAGTAGGGCACCAGCCCCATATGCTGGAGGTGGCAGGTTCAAACCCAACCCTGGCCAAAAAGAAAAAAAAATTTTATTTACCATTATAGTAAGTGGTAATAATTAGTAATGCTTTTGCTATAATGTAACAGAATAGTGTACTTGAAGCTTGATGATAATCCCCAATTTAATGGAAATCATTTTTATAAAATAGAGATTATATAATACATTTGGGGAAATGTTTTTGTTTTCTTTTTTTTTTTTTGAGACGGAGCCTCGAGCTATCCCCCTGGGTAGAGTGCCATGACCTGACAGCTCACAGCAACCTCCAACTCCTGGGCTCAAGCGAGTCTCCTGCCTCAGCCTCCCAAGTAGCTGGGACTACAGGCACCCGCCACAGCGCCGGCCATTTTTTGATTGCAGCCATCATTGTTTGGTGGGCCCGGGCTGGAGATTCGAACCCACCACCTTAGGTGTATGTGGCTGGCACCTTAGCCGATTGAGCCACAGGCGCCGAGCCATGTTTTTGTTTTCTTAGTTTTTAAAAGGAAAAGATGATTAGCAATTGACATTTACGAAGAATTTTTGAGGCAGACACATAGTGGATTATATAATTGCATATATGTATATATACACACACCTTTTATTTGATGGAGAAGAAAACTGTGATTATTTTATATATTACCAGACAGGTTATCTTACAGTAGCCAGGAAGTTTTGTGCTATGACAGGATTCTTCTATAACATGTAGATATTCTGCTTCAGCTGCTCTAATTTTCTTGCTTTTTCCTACTTGTGTCAAGTAGGCTTCTAGCTTACTTCATTGTTGTATTTTCTCTTTTTTGGTGGTTTGTCCTTCTTAACTTCTTTTTTCCTCTTGGAAGTATTTTCTTTAATTTTACAGGTAATATGTAGGTTTTTGTTTTCAGGGATTGGTGACATTCAGGGATGTGGCCATCAACTTCTCTCAGGAGGAATGGGAATGCCTGGACCATGCTCAGAGGGACTTATATCTGGATGTGATGTTGGAGAACTACAGTAACTTGGTGTCACTGGGTAAGATCATCTGTCCGCAATAATATAAAATCTCTTCTTTAAGACATCTGTTGGATTAGAAACAGGTTTGTTAAGCACCTTGTCCTTCTCCATCTCTCAGTAAGCTTTACTTGTCATCCCCTTTCTGCAATCTCCTCTCTTCTTTAATGACCAAGGGGCTGGATTTACTTTATAGGGCATTTATTTCGTAACCATTGTTAAAGAAAACAGGATTCATACTTTTTTAAACTTCAGATTTTCTGTAGATGTGTGTCTTTGCTACTCACATTGTGCTTCTCTTTTTTGAAGAACCATAAGAAGGTGAGAGCACAGTTAGTGAAGGAGAAGGTACCAAGAAATTAATGAGGGAGATAGGCAGGCCAGATGATGGGTGGTTTTATTGGTTTTCAGGAGGAATATGGATTTTTTTCTTAGTGATTAGAAGCCATGATTTGATCTATATGTTATGTGTGTTCATTTTTTTTTTAAGTTGTTATAATGAAGTTTTAGAGAAATAATTAACATTAGGATCTTCTGGGGTGGGTTAGAAATGTAGCATGTCAGGTCCTACCCCAGGACCTGCTGAATAGAACCTGCATTTACACATATCCCCCAATCATCCCTAGGCACATTAAAGCAAGAGGCTTTGTTGTCTTCTGACCCACATGCAGGGAAAATAGCTTGAAACAGAGACTGGGTGTACTTTGACTTTCATTTCTTTTTTTTT